AAATTTGGAAAAAATGGTTGAAAGCTGAAGATGAACATACAAGGAAGTTGGGTGCCCTAGTTATGGAAACTGAGAAAAGTGAAGATATATAGCGCATATAATAAAATATCACAAGACCAATATATCTTTTAATTAAATTTTGTGATGGTGATGATTAAACAATGGGTAAAATTTATGAAAGAATAGACAATATGCTTGGTGAAATTAAAGATACTATGAAAGGCGAAAAACATACTGATAAATTTTTCCAGATGAAAAAAATTGTGCTTGACAGATTGGTGAAGATGAATATTCTTATACATTGTTTTGGATTTGCACTTAACCCATGATTTTATGATACTCAATATCTAGCTAAGCTAGCATCGTAGGAAGAACTTAATCAAGACAAGGAGGTGATCATTAGTGTTATGGAAGCATTTGAAAAGATAGCTGAAGATGACCAAGAAACAAAAATATTAAGAGAAGAATATATGAACTTTTTTCATTCGCAAAAAGACCTTTATGCTATGACAGATTCTCAAACAGATGATGTAATTATAGATGCTGTAGATTGGTGGTCAACATATGGTTCAAAAACTCCAAACTTGGCAGATGTTGCTAAAAAGGTATAAGTTTGACTTTACTATTATTTACCATTATTTATTTGTTTTTATTTTTTCTTTCTATAGATACTATCTCAACCAATAACAAGTTTGTCAGTTGAAAGAAATTAGAGTACATATTCATTCATCTAGAATGTCAAGAGAAATAGGTTGAACTCTACCAGAGCTGACAAGCTAGTATTTATTTATTCCAATATTCGTTTCTNCTACCAGAGCTGACAAGCTAGTATTTATTTATTCCAATATTCGTTTCTAATCATGTTTTACTACAAGTACTAAGATGGACCTTTTAAAAAATGGAGAACCAATCTATAGCATACCCATATAGTCATATAGATGATTCTATTGTACAATGGGAGGACTTGTGGTTGAAATCCTTGGAGGATGACTCTATTAATTTTTCTGCCATGCGACCGAGGAAGCCTGGGAAGTGACATCCCATGCTTCTATCCTCACTTCTATTGTAGGCCCATCAACTAGTTCTAGTAGGCCATCACCCCGACGTACCAGACTACATCAGCCTTAGAAAAGAGTTGAAAATTATGTACTTTGATTCAAATGTTTTTACTATTCAATTATTTTATTTTGAGGACTGTTAATTATTTAAGATTTTTATTTTAATTATCTGTTCATGTAGGAAGCTACTTATTTACTATGTGGTACTTTATTTCTTTTGTTTTAATGATCTTTAAATTTATATTTTTCGTGATTTGATTTTTCTCATAATACAAATATGCAACCATTATTTTTCTTATTGACGATTATTAGATGGTATGTTGTTATAGGTCTTGGATCTTAATTCACGTTGGTTCTTTCAAAATAAATACGAAATAGATATTAATTAATTATGTATGCATATAATTAAAATAATATTAAAAATTGCCACTTGTAGAAATATTAGTTCACCATGTGTCTATAGATGCATACANATAGATATTAATTAATTATGTATGCATATAATTAAAATAATATTAAAAATTGCCACTTGTAGAAATATTAGTTCACCATGTGTCTATAGATGCATACATATATATAATTTATTACAATATTATAAACGAACCAATTAAAATTTCCAAACGAACTACGACTCCAATTAGCTTATCGATTGAATGTACACCTATCGTACCTAGGAAATAACGTACCACAACTGTATCCNCATATATATAATTTATTACAATATTATAAACGAACCAATTAAAATTTCCAAACGAACCGCGACTCCAATTAGCTTATCGATTGAATGTACACCTATCGTACCTAGGAAATAACGTACCACAACTGTATCCGTACCGAAGCAATCCGCGAGCCAAGTAATCCTAATCAAACCTCCTTACCAGCTTGGGACAAGTACGCTTCCTTCCACCCTTGAGTCTTCCTCATAACTCTTTCTACTAGGTAGTTGAAGGTCTCCGCTTTAGAACGACCCCAAAAGCAAGGGATACTTACGTACTTTGTGTTTCTCGGGAGGGCTTCAATTTCCAATTTTTCACACAGATAAACTCTTTCATCTGGGGGGTGTTTTTGGAAAATAGCACTCCCAATTTTTGAAAATTTATGAGTTGCCCCGATGCCTCGCAATATGTGGACAAAGTGCTCCTTAGGTGACAATACTCCTATTTGTTGTCCCTCTGGAAAAGAAGGGAGTTGTTGGCGAAAAATAGATGGGATAGAGTAGGGCTTCTTTTTTTAATTCGCATACCAGAGATGCGCCCCTTGTGCAGATATTTGTATGTATGCCTAGATAGAACATCCGCAACTAGGAGGAAGAGATTGGGTCGCCCTGTCGTAGACCCCTTTGCTTAGTGAATTCACATCTAGCAGCCCCATGGATCATCACTTCGAAATTCACCGTAGTAACTCACTGGAGGAGAAGGTTAATCCAAGAAACATTAAAACCCAGCCTCTTCAAGATTGATTCCAGAAAGTCCCACTTGACTATATCATACGCCTTGTTGAGATCTAACTTAATTGCCATCATCTTCTCTTTACCCATTTTAATTTTCAGGGCATGAAAAGCTTCATTTGCAATGAGGATACTGTCCTGGATCGGGTGGTGAGGAACAAAAGCAGCCTGGTTGGGGGTGACCAGATGTCGAAGAATACTTTTCAACCTGTTTGCTTGTACTTTGGAAATGATCTTGTAAAGAAAGTTGAATAGAGCTATGGGGCAGAATTGGGAAATGATTCCGGTGTAGGTTCTTTGGGGATAAGCACTAAAGCTAGTTCTGTTCAACTCCGGAATCATCATGCCTCCTGTGAAAAATTTCTAGACAACTTTACACACTTCCCCCCAAGGATATGCCAATGTTTCTGATAAAAAATACTAGAGAATCCGGCCGGGCCTGGAGCTTTGAGGTCACCCAACTATTTAGTAGCTCTTAGAATTTTGTTTTCAGAAACAGGGTTCAGTAGTCTTGCATTCATATCGCCAGAAACCAAGGGAGGAATTGCTTCTACAACTTCATTAAAATTCTGAACCCTAATAGTTGAGAACAGAGAATTGAAATAATCAGAAATACGGGAGTTTAGGGCTTGATCTTCCATGATCCATTCTCCTTCTGTGGATTTCAGTCTGAGTATCTAGTTTCTGTGCCTTCTTTGGATCGTGGTCAGGTGAAAAAAATTGGTATTTTGGCCAGTTGATCCGTGACTGCTGCATCCAGTACATCTCCTCCCTCTGCATTTTTGTGATCATCGACAGAGACATTTTACATGGAGTATGAAATTCCTTTGTGCTTAGTAAGGAAATATTCTTTAGAAGTTTATTCATGGGCATCTAGATTTCTAGTGTTCTTCACTTCTTCTTCTTCCATGTAAATAAGGACTGAAATGGATATTGATTTTCAATATATGGAGTAGATATTGAATCTAATTGCCATGAGTTATGATGGTGTGCCCCTTGTCTTCTAAGTCTTGTTTTTATTTTTTTATATGCCCTGGCTTCTAATCCAACAGGTCAAAATCTCTAACCCCTGTGTTAGGTGTTCAAGTTTCTGTTGGAGCTTGCAGACCTAGTCTCACTTACATAAAAAAGAAAAAACTAGTCTCTGGCTCGTCTATGGTAGGAATCATTGATTACTAAACCTGAATTTCAGGGATACAAGGTTTCTTCTAATAGCCATGGATGCTGATCTTCAGGTATCTGTTTTCTGCGATCATCTTCAACCTTAAGTTGTTGATGTCAGGATTGAAGGCACTTCAACAATGAAGGTTTGAGAGATACTCAACATATTGACTCCCATAACAACTATTAGCACAAGTGATACCTCTTGGCTCACTTAGAAAAAGCGATGCACGATCCAACCTTTGACCGGGACATAGTTTCTTTTATATTGCTAGCTCTTTAGAAGGAAAAGGAAAATCAGTAGATTTTCTTTCATTAGGAGATCTAGTGTTTCATGACTTCTTTTTGCTGCCAGCCATGCATCTTGATTTTCCAGGTTTCTATACATTGATGGATGGGGTTGGAGCCTAAGATACCGAAAACACCTGTGTCTGTGGGTTGATGATAGAGATAGCCCTTCCTATCATGACCGAGCAATTCCTTTATGTGTAAGGCATTATTTTTAGTCATTATTTTAAGTCATTCCTTAAGGTCCATGAGGCTGATAGGTTTACCAATCTCCCTACATCTTTCTCTACTGGAGACTTTAAAACAATATGGTCAATTGTTTTCATATGGAAGTGTCATTAGGCTGGCATCCTCAGTGTGTTCTTATGGATCAATTCCAAGCGATTTTGTCTGATCGTCGATGCAATTATTAAGGAATTTTAGGCGATGCTTACCAAAAAATGAAATGATATTGATGAATTAGAGCTCAAGGCTCCTAATTTTTGGAATGCATTCCATGATCTTGGGCTTGTTTGTGTCCATGAGCAAGTCTTTTGTTTTCCTTGTGAATAAATAGTTTGCCTCGAAATTGTGTCTTTTCCTTTGTTTTCATGTTACCGTCCCAGCTTGGTTCTTGTTTGGAAAAGTGCTACTTATAGGACCAAAGACTACATTCAATATGAGGCATTGGGATAGATGATACTAGAAGTGACCAATGATGGTCACAAGCAACCAGAAGATTTCACTTGTGAGATTTAGAATGTTACCAAGGTACAAGGTAGATCCCATATTTAATATTTACTTAATTTGTACTTTCAGTGAGATGTGCCTGATAAAAGTTTGCCAGATATCATTGTGCATTAAATCACTCTTGATGTCTGTTTTTTGGTTAATCAAAAATCTTTATGCATCAGTCTCTGACGACAAAAGTCATATAGCTTTTGCTCTCAACAAAAATTTGTGCCTTTCCGGAAAATATACTGAAGTTGGCTATCTAATGTCTCCCTATGGCATTAAAAAAAACAAGTTCAATGTCTTGAATCCTGGCGCGAAATGTTCTTGGCTATTATAAGTTCATTTTGCTGCTCATTGGCATTCTTTTTCTGACAATATTGATTTAGTTATTAAAGTTTCACAAAAATGAGAATTGTTTTATGAAAGACTGAGCTGGACTGAAGCGGACAATCAGTGCATATTCATCTTTTGCTTGTTATTAATGTTTATATGGTCCAATTATTGCAGTGAAGCACTTTTCTATTTCACACTTCAAGGAACAGCTTTTCGATGGCTCTATAGATATCTGAACTCTGAACTTTTGGGCAGTGCATAGGATATCTGAACTCTGAAGCATCCAAAGACCGCCGCAATGGAAGAACCTAATAATTCTGATTTGGGATGTGATCCAAAACCCCAAGTCCTATATCGTTGCAAAAAATGTCGAAGAATTGTTGCTTCACATGAACTTATAGTTCCTCACAAGCGTGGGGAAGGACAAAAATGTTTTAAATGGAGAAAGAGAAGTAATGATCCATTGGAAATGGAGAAAGAGCCACCTGAATGCTCCTCCATATTTGTAGAGCCCATGAAGTGGATGCAATCAGGTTAGTCAAAAAAACCATAACCACCATGTTTTACAATAGTTTATTCTTCTTCCGAACATTTTAATGCGACTCAAACTATGAATTGGCAGTTGAAGAAGGTTGTGTCGGAGATAAGCTTCAGTGCATGGGTTGCAAGGCTCGATTGGGTTCTTTCAACTGGGCGGGAATGCAGTGCAACTGTGGAGCTTGGGTTAACCCTGCATTTCAACTGCACAAAAATCGTATGGATGAATGCAGTCTATGAGCCATGCCATTGTTATTGAATAATTATGTTTAGAAATTTTAGCACTGTGCAAAATCTGTCCTTGGGTTTGCATTGCCTTTAGGCACTAATCACTTTAGTCTAAAGAGTTCAATATGTTTGGATGATTGAATTTTTTGAGAATGAACTCTGATCATAATGTTAGTTTGATGTAAATCTGCTGATGCACAAGAGGTATTTTCCTTGCATTTCAGGTTTTCATTTGGGTTTTCTTGTACATATAGATTGTAGATCTTCTTTAATACACTTTTCTTGAATTTTCTTCAATGGTAGATTTTTGGTTGTGTTTCGTCGGGGGAGCTAGTTATCAAGAAATTAGTTAACTTTCTAATCAAATCTAAAACAATTGATTTAAACATATACCTACTAATAATAAACAGATCGAATAAATGTTGAACCCGAATAAATTAAAATTGACATGATTTAAACGTTTAATGAGTATTGTTTGAATAAAATATCATAATTGTATCATTTTTTGATTAAATATTCACATGGACCTTGATAAAATAATAGGATTTTATTACTTATTTTTCTATAAATATATGAATTTAGTTAATTTTTAGTTTATGATCAAATTATTAGTGTGGAGGCATAATATTCTTAGTTTTAGATTTTTGTTTTGCGGGGTTATACATCTCAATCCGAATATAACATGAGAATATACAGGTCAAATCAATATTAATATATTTGACATAATTAAAAAAGACTTAGACTAGAATTAAGTTATTTTCACTTACGAGTTCAAGTTAATACAACAAAAACATGATTTAACATGACATAATTGTCACTCGTATCTAAAATTCATCAAAATAATTTTGTAGAAAGAATGATAAATTTTTAAACATTGACCTTTGTTTAGAGAGAAAAAGAGAGGGTTTGTTTTATTTTAAAGTATAATAAGTTAATTTTTTGGGGGAATTTGTCTTTGTATCTCGAAAGATTAAGCTTTTTTATTTTATTTTATACCCAAAAAAGTAAATTTTTTATATTGTACTCTCAAAATATTAAAAATATTATAATTTGACTTTTCTATTTGACTTTTATTACTTATTCCTNATTTGTCTTTGTATCTCGAAAGATTAAGCTTTTTTATTTTATTTTATACCCAAAAAATTAAATTTTTTATATTGTACTCTCAAAATATTAAAAATATTATAATTTGACTTTTCCATTTGACTTTTATTACTTATTCCGTAGAAAATAATCTCATTTACGTTGATGAAATAAGTAACAGAAATTAATAAAAAGGGTAACATTGTAATATCTTGAATACATTAAAATTACAATATAAAAAATCTAATCTTTGAAATTATAAAATAAATTTTTTTAAATCTTTTTCATTGAAAACTACAATTCGCCCTAACCCTTTTTTTGCTGGAACTAGCATTAAAATAATCCAATCGGGGGTGTTTGAATGTTGTAAAGCATGAAGCGGCGCCGTTTAAATGGAACAGCAAAATCTGCTGTTCTTTAAACCCGGCGCAGCTCGTATCTCTCTGGTATTCTCTCTCTCTCTCTCTCTCTATCTCGATCAAAACCCTAGCGAAGTCTCATGTAAGCCCAGCTCGCTTTACCAAGTTACAAACTTTTTTCCTCTCGTACAGTTATTGCAACGCTTTTCACCAGAAATTCCATACCTTCTTGTGTCCATATACCCTAGTTCCACTAAATAATCGTCGCATCAATTTTCCAATCAACCAAACAAAATCGCTTATGAAAACCCAAAAATCTATTTCCTATTTTGTTCCAAGCCCTAAAATTCGCAGATCCAGCGAGTTTTGGCAATAAATTTTCAGGGAAAATTCTGTTTTTTCTCATCATCCGAACATGGCCAAACAAAATCTCTACTACCCAGTTCAAATTTTGTTCCGAACCCTAAAATTCGCTAACCCAACAACAATTTTCCTGGAATGTCTCTGAACACTGAAATTTTCCGTTATTCAAACATCATCAGACAAAACCCAGAACACCCAACTTGAGTTTTCCTTCAAAACATGGAGAGTTCTCGGCCTTGCAAATATTGCAGAGAGAGAACTATAGTCCCTGATGAAGTCACCGGAAATTTGGTCTGCGAGTCGTGTGGGGGTGTTCAAGAATACGAAAATTACCAAGCTCATGTCGGCGGCATAACAGGCCCTGCCGGCACTTATGTTCGCACTGGCACTGCAGGGTCCGGCAGTGTCTATAATTATAAAGAGACTAAAATCTACGAAGCCAAAAAATTGATCGAGGATTTCATGTTTAGATTAGGAATTTCGGGTCCAAAATCAAATGAGGTCAAAGTTCTTGTAGAGACCATTACTGAGGGAGAGTATGGGACGGGTAATTGGTTTCCGATACTTGTAGGTGCTTGTGCTTATGTTGTAATGAGGAAAGACAATAAAACGTTACCTCTGGTAGAAATCTCGGCAGTAATTGGACGTGAGATTTATGAATTAGGTCGAATGGTTGATCGGGTTGTAAGTTTTGTAGATTTGAAATTGCCTGAGTTTGATATTGTGAATTCGTTTGAACGGGCAATTAGGACTTGCCCGAGTTTTAGTGATGTTTCGGAGGATAAAACGGGAAGGATGGTGAAGCAAGGGATATTTTTGATGAATTGTTTGGTTAAGTGGTTTTTGACGACTGGGAGAAGGCCAATGCCAGTCGTGGTGGCAGTGTTGGTGTTTGTTGCGGAATTGAATCAAGTTGAGGTCAATATTGAGGTCGTGGCGAAGGAATTGCATGTGGCAGTTGTTACATGTCGTTTAAGGTATAAAGAGCTTTTGGAGAGGCTAGTGAGAGTTGCAAAATTGTTGCCATGGGGGAAGGATATTACTGTTAAAAATGTAGTGAAGAATGCACCATTTGTGATTCAGTATATGGAGTTGAAGTCGATGTCTAAGCGTGGTGAGAAGAGGAAGGCTTTGGAGGATGGGGGGTTTGATTTGGATGAGTTGGTTGGTGACTGTTTGAGCAATGAAACTGGATATCGTATTGATAGCTATGGCACAAAAATTGATTCTCAGTATTTTGAGTTAGAACATTCTCCACAATTGAGTGTTGATGATATGGAGAAGTTTAAGATTTCACATGAATGCTTGTACCTGATTTATTCGAAGTTCTTGAATGAGTTTTCCAATGCTAAGTCAACAATAGATGGTAAGGATAATAGAAGGAAAAGGAGTAGAGGGTATGACTTCCTTGAGTGTACAGAGTGGTGGAAAGGCAAATCAGAATTGAGCAAAAAGCTTTTTCTTAAGCAAATTTTGGAGAAAGATGTAGGTTTGAATGCCACGCCACCTTCATTTGATCGTGGATGCTTAGCATATCAAAGGAGAAGAGAAAAGATCAAGGCTGCAAAGCTGCGCATTGAGAAGGTTATGTGTCCATCTAATGCTGGGTGTGATGGGCTTGAACTTGACCATTTGGAATCCACATGCGCTGGGAAGAAAAAGCAAAGAAAAATGCAAGTTGAAATTGATTGGGAAGATTTTATTATTGAAGCCCTGCTGCTTCATCAAGTGAAGGAGGAGGAAATACAGAAAGGACATTATAATGCCTTACTGGACTTGTATGTCTTTGACTCTGGGAGTTGTGAATAAGTGACAAGCTTCAAGCATGGAAGGAGTTAAGCACCATTGGAGGTTTTGGCAGATGTTTGTTTAAACTCTTATACAGAAGAATTTTGACACTTTGTAACTTGACATAAGATTATGTATTTTTGTTACAAAATATTGGATGTGCATAATTATGTATATACTTACTTCTAAATGTCAGCTATTCCTCAAAAATTTTGTTTTCCTTTTATACCCTCAAACAATACAATTAGGTCGATTTTAACTTTCAATGTAAATCAATTAAATTTAAATAACAATGGTTGCTCTGCCTAATATGCAGTGAGCATTCCTACAATGAAACTGTTTGGCTTTCATCTTGATTTTTTTTTGGTTTCGATGAAATATGTTTCTGTATTTTCAGTAAGTCTAAAGCCATCTATTAGGAAAATTTAATCTATGCTATTGTTGCTCTGCTGCCGTATTGCAACCACCCAATGCCATTGCTATTGTTCCTCATAGCTGGTCAAATACTTTAGGTAAAGATATGTTGGCATTTATGCGTTTGTACATATCTTTGCTTTCTGAAATGTATATAATCAAGCAAACCCAAAAATTGATTAATGATTCACTGACTATATTGGTTGAAAGATTGACCGGAGAAGACAGTGCGTTATGAGAATTTCTAAAAGGTTTGTTACATTCCCAATTCGTGTGTTTCGTTCGCCTGCACTTTAAGCCCCTTTTAGAACATTAAACCCCAACATGAAATGAGTCCCGAAGTCTAATTGAATTTTGAAGGTATCAGCTTCCTAGACTGTAGCGCGTTCTCAATGAAAGAATTCAATTGAGATACATGGGCTTTTATATAGGTGTTGATATTTTTATGTTTCATAGTTTTTTTGTTTTGTTTTTTCTTTCTTGAATGTCGTCGTGATATTTGAATTTGTGCTAGGATTGTAAATAGGTTTGTTTTTTAGACAAGGTCTGGTGGCTACCAATAGAAAGATTCAAACAAGTGAATTGTTTCAATTGAATTTGACATGTGCAATTGGCTCAAAAGGAAGCAAAATGCAGTAGTGTTGTCTTTCGAAGTTGTATGAATATGGGTGGAAGACGGCACTCTTAGTAGTTGCTGGTTCATGCGTTTTATTGCCGCAGCGCACTGGTTCAACTCATCAGAAGTAATGTTCTTACAGTTTGCTTGTATTGGTTTTTGTTTCATTGAGTATCTTGGACCAGAGTTAAGGCACCGCACCTAACAAGCCATTGCCAAGAACAAGAAGGACTACGGCTTTGCGCACTGATGCACTTCTNGCTCAAAAGGAAGCAAAATGCAGTAGTGTTGTCTTTCGAAGTTGTATGAATATGGGTGGAAGACGGCACTCTTAGTAGTTGCTGGTTCATGCGTTTTATTGCCGCAGCGCACTGGTTCAACTCATCAGAAGTAATGTTCTTACAGTTTGCTTGTATTGGTTTTTGTTTCATTGAGTATCTTGGACCAGAGTTAAGGCACCGCACCTAACAAGCCATTGCCAAGAACAAGAAGGACTACGGCTTTGCGCACTGACGCACTTCTGCACCTACGCACTAAAGGCTTACCCTCAGATATTAGCCTTCGGCTTACTATCTGTGTGAAAAATCTGACTCTTTACTACTATAATGAAAGAAGGGAACCCGAACCTACTCCCTCACCACCAGAATCGCCAGCAGACCTTCTCTTCCTAGCAGGCACACTCACTCAAGCGTACCTACGACTACTCGCCTGGCTAACCGTACTGATCAAAGACTAACATAGTGCACTGCCTAGCCAAAGGCAGGGGAATATAGAAGAAGTGCTAGATTGATTGACGTCTTGGAGAAATTAGTTTTTGATGATGTGGTTAAGCCATTGGTTTAAGACTAGACATGTATTGTTGGCCTTAGTTGTTATAGAAATAGTTGCTTTTATTTGCTGATAGAAACCTTAAGTTGGGATAAATAGAAGGGAACAAAAAAATGATACTGGATCAATGGGTTAGGAAAGACTAAGAAACAATTATTATTCTTTCATGGGTAACTTATTCTCCACAGGACCATTCTTTTCTTTTGTCCTATGTGGTTGGGGAAATTTAGTACAACTCACAGATTTCTTTCAATTGCTTGTTCTTAACCCATATGATCACATTTCTTCATTTCTGCACACAGATTTCTTTCAATTGCTTGTTCTTAACCCATATGATCACATTCCTTCATTTCTGCATGCAGATCTTTATTACCATTCCCTCTTTATATTATAGAGATGAAAAATAGATAGTGCTTGATACTATTGGGATTTTCTTGACATCTTGTTATTGGAAGTTGTTTGATCGTTGTTCATTTGAGTGCTAGAGAAATTAGTTAGTTAGGTGATGTCATAATGCTTGTTTGATAAGACCTCTTTGACATGAACTAATAGATGAACAAGTGGTTGAATGAAGTGTTGTTTGTTCATCTGTTGATGTATATTGCATCTTAATTGTATTCTGTACGCAACAATATATTTAGTGTCGCTCTATAATGGGCAGTATTAATANTGAATGAAGTGTTGTTTGTTCATCTGTTGATGTATATTGCATCTTAATTGTATTCTGCACGCAACAATATATTTAGTGTCGCTCTATAATGGGCAGTATTAATATCAAAATTCACATGTATGCAGGTGCTAAGGAGAGAGTAGATGATGCTTACAAAGAGAGTAAACCATGCATTGGAAGAATAGATGTGACATTTGATCATTTATAAATACTTTTACCATGTAGCTTGAAATATTTTGTGCTTCTAAAAAAATACAGATGTTATGTTTTTGTGGATATTGAATATTTTATATTTGGCCCTCCCCGAATTTTGCAATGGCGGGAGTCTTCTGCACTGAGCCGTAATTTTTTTGGGATTTTGTTTTGTGTATATGAATAATTTTTGTGCAAATCAGGTTAATTCGTGAAATTAATTGCACATTTATGCATGAATAGGGGATAGGGTAAAACATTGATGCAACATGTTCTCTTTTCTTAAAAATATATCATCTGTGACAGTTGAAGGCCATCAGAGATAACTTTCACAATTTGTGTCTGCACCTTGCTGACACAAATATGGTTCTGCATCAATAATTTTAATGTCACGAGAAATGTCAGATTTGACACTTTTGGTGACATCAGTTTTGCATTGTTGAGGCAGTTTTTTGGGTAGCGAAAAACTTTTTTTCTTGTAGTTAGCCGCATGATTCAAAAATTCCCAAAATTTATGGGAGTTTAAGAAATTGAAAAGCTATCTTTGATCAATAGGGTGGGCCTCTGTTTTGATAGTCTGTTTGTAACAAGACAGAAGACATGCAATGTTAACAGATATATGTTGTCAATGGGGTGTTCAGTCAAAAGAAAATGATGCAAATGTTCAAGTTCTCAACAAGGTGCAAGTTTTCATTCTAAGATACAAGTCAGAAATGATATGTGTTTTGGCTTTTACTTTCTCTGAATCCCTTCTGAAATATTGATCCCTAGTTAAGCCTTATTAGAGGTAAATTGTTGTGATTAGTCTTTCTAAAGTCCAAAAACTGACTTCCAAAACAATCCATGTGCAACGCACATATGCATCAACTAGTATAGTAAATGTGTTTTACAATATACGTTCCCATTCTATTAACACTAGGGGACATTTTTTCCTCACATGCCTCTCTTTTCTACTATACTCTTTTTAGATTGTTTCTGTTCTTGTAGTTTGGAAGGACTAATCTGTTTTCATGTTCAATATCTACTGCTAAATGACAGAAAAACATCATTTTTTTTGAGTTTATTTGTTTTAGAGATTGCTTTGGCTGACAAGAAACTTGATAATTAAAAAGTTTTGCCACTAGCAGAGGTGCTTGCACTTTCTGATGTAATTTGATTTATGGATCGCGATGTCAATTCAATAGTCATAGAAATGATTTCCTCGTTTCTTTTGAAGTTATGATTTCCTCTTGTGATCAGAGCTAATCCCAGGAGTTGGGACTCTGAAATGTGAATGAAAATGTGGTTTATCTTCCACAAGATTGCTTTATATTTTGGGTATCTTTATGAACCTGTTTTCACNTCCTCGTTTCTTTTGAAGTTATGATTTCCTCTTGTGATCAGAGCTAATCCCAGGAGTCGGGACTTTGAAATGTGAATGAAAATGTGGTTTATCTTCCACAAGATTGCTTTATATTTTCGGTATCTTTATGAACCTGTTTTCATCAGTACATTTGATCTAATGCTTACTGAATTTCATGCTAATATACTTCCTTTTGCTCAAGATTGATATTGTTCACCACATATGGAATACTGACCAAATGATTTCCGTGTGCCACACTCACTTAAGAGCAGGTCAAACCTTGAGGATGTGCCTTGATTGTTTTTGGTCTGTAATTCATTCTTAGGATAACACTTCTATTCTTGAATGTGACAAAAGCATGATTTACCTAGACAATTTACTTATCACATGTACCTGACATGCTTGCAAGGTCGAATTAGTTCTCGGTGCTCTCAGGGAAGCAAGTAGCCTATTGTCCATCCCATTTCCAAGGAAAGTTGTATAGTTCCAAGCTTGTGTCTTCTGCCATTGTATCAGCCCTTGCATTGGAAGGTAAAACAGAGCTCCTCAATTTTGATAGATGTGAAAACTGTGTGCGTGTGTGTGCGCTTTTGAAGGGATTGATGCTATTTGATTCTGCCATTATAAGCCTCCTTTTGAGTGTTTCTTTTGTTGGTCTGTTTCCCGGTTATTGATTCTCCTTTCTTTGTGATTCAAGGAGAAAAGGAATTTTTCATTTGGTATGCATCTTGTTCTTTGCGACAGTAATTCAATATGTACTGCTTGTATCAATTTTATGCTTACTAAAACCTCTGATGTCTTGCATCACTGAAGTTCAGTTTATTTCCCAACAGTTTTGGAAACTCCATAATAAAAAGCACTTGGTAGAAGAACATGTAAATATGGAAGACAAAAATACATAGAAATGATCAACTTTGACATAGAACCTTTGTCATGCCTGGTGGACCCTGGACTACTTAATATAGGCTTCTTGTATTACTGACCAGCAGCAAATGCCTCAACCGGAAAAGTCTTGGTGATTCCAGCAAGACTCTTGAAGTGAATCTTTCCGGTGGGTGGGTCATCGATGGTTATCTGGTTGACTGGAGGCCATAGCACGAGCTCCTTGGCCTTGACTCCTTTGAGCTTCTTGATCTGTTTCTTCTCCACATAACCAGTTATTTCAGTGTCGTAACTCACAAGCTTGCTTATCATCTTGAAGTTGTGTTCTACTTTCTTCTTTTGCAGGATCCACATGTACCCGGTGCTCCTCACAAAACCGACCTCGATCACATCAGCGAGAGGGAGCAGTCCCGATGGGAGTCCGAACTCTTCCAGAAGAGCAACTGACATTTTTGTCCCCTCTTGGTGACCCTTCTTGACAATTCCTCCTTCCTTCTCTGCCATGGCTGATAGAACTCTCTCTCTCTAGTTGTTTACTTGATGGTTGGAGATTAGTAGAGCTTTATTTTATACCTTGAGTGAGTGCAAATATGAGACAAATTCAATGAAGAAACCAAGGCTAGTAGCTTTGTATTAACCACCAAAATTGATAATATCCTTATTTTTATCGAAGGCCTCATCGTATTGTCATTCCTTTCCTGATAAATGCCGCACTTCACCAAGGAGAAAATAGACTAGTTTGTTTCTGCTAACAGGTAATCACCTTAGGCTGTGTATCGTGTTGCATTTGTCTGCTTTGAAGCCTCTTGTGTTTGNTGTCATTCCTTTCCTGATAAATGCCGCACTTCACCAAGGAGAAAATAGACTAGTTTGTTTCTGCTAACAGGTAATCACCTTAGGCTGTGTATCGTGTTGCATTTGTCTGCTTTGAAGCCTCTTTCTTGTGATTTGTTTTTTTTTTTGCAAATTTTGTTTACATGTGCCTTTCATCTGTCAGTTCTTATGTATTGGGCGTATGACGAAAATTATGACAATTTTGAACACGATACTGTAATCTGATACGAAATGGATAGAAAGTTACTAAGTATGAGGTAAACCTCATAACTAGATTGACTGGCTAAACCCTTCTAATAAATTGGGGCAATACGAACACGNTTTTTTTTTTTTGCAAATTTTGTTTACATGTGCCTTTCATCTGTCAGTTCTTATGTATTGGGCGTATGACGAAAATTATGACAATTTTGAACACGATACTGTAATCTGATACGAAATGGATAGAAAGTTACTGAGTATGAGGTAAACCTCATAACTAGATTGACTGGCTAAACCCTTCTAATAAATTGGGGCAATACGAACACGACTATGTATTATCATATGACATGAGCTTGCACGATTTGAATCTACATGATTCCAAGTGAATTGGAAAGGGAAACAGTTTATCACGAAACATAATTTCATTTCATATGATGCTCCATTAAGTCACCCCCCCCCCCCTTCTCTCTCTTATTTTTCTTTTCCTTCACGCCCACCCCGAGAATTCCCTAGCTGCACGGCCATGGAAGACGCCAGTGTGATGTGACCACCGGGCAGTAATTGAAGGCTTTGCTTGTATATACTTCATAGCTACAAGCTAGCAGCAATGTATGAGGAACATTCCTGTTGCTTTTCTTGTTGCTTTATGCTGTCTGCAACATGAGCAACCACTCCAGTTCCAGCATTATGAAACCATTCATTCTTCACCTGTGTTAAAATCAACAATCACATTAGAAACACGAATGAGTCAGACAAACATCGGAAAGATGGATAGTTTTCCAGGAATCAATACATGAATGTTGTTGTGGGCAAAGAACGGCCAGAACGCCGAGTGGAAGCTAACGTCGACTTTTTTCCATCCCAGCCGTTGTAAGCCTCTTATCATTTCCTCTGTCGACAAACAGAGTCTGTCATTACTGTTTGTTGAGGGACAACAAATAAAGCATCATCGGATAACAAGTTCCAGTACCTTCCATGATTTCATGATACTCGACTGCATTCTCCGTGTTGGGCATATTTTGAGCTGCCTCCTTTGCTTTGGCTGCTTCGGGACGGAAATGAGGACCCTCAGTGGAAACTGGTGGATGATACTCCACATCTACAACATGTTTGTAACCATCCAAAGATCGCCGAGAGGGCTGCAAATTCAAGTGTGTAAAGAAACATAAAGTCGAGTCCAGATTTGATACATATATCATGGAGTTAATTGGATACAATGAGAGAAACTGTTGTATTGAGCTTTCGAATACCCCATACGCGACAGGTTTAGTAGTTGCATGAGCTTGTACATTTAAGCTTCTACCTAAACGTTTAGTATATACCCACTGACAAAGAGGTCACGGGATGATTCTTAATTTTTAGCCAAAATAATACTCACTACCTTTCTTACACATACAACAGTACACACAAACACATGAAGACGCACCACAATTAAAAGAATCAATGGGCTCTATTCAGATTACCTCTCAAAGTAACTGAAAAAAAGAACAAAAACTGTTCAACTAGAAGAATGAGATGCTTGGAGGAGTGGATTACGTACACATCGAAACTTAAATAATAGCCCTCCTTAAATTCAAAACCTTAGACCTAGACCAAATAAGTTGATTAATAAGGTAGAGAAAACCTAACAGCCCTAATTTAGTCCTTACTCGTTAATTCTCTAACTGATGCTCACATCTAAAACACTGGATGAATGAACAATGATAAGCAGTTAAGGATATGAAAGAGGTGAATCACCTTAACTAGTTCTGTCTCCCTTCTTATTGAGGATGTGCGCCAACCAACCATATCTGGGCAGTGTTAAGTATATAGGACAAGTAACTAGAGAAAAGGGAGAAAAAAAACACAATAGAGAACAAGCATGATGGCCACTTATGCTTATTAAATGAGAATATGCAGCAGGATACGGTCATATGAGACATTTGCATAAATAATTCGACCTTTGAATGCACCGAGGGCAGATCTGCAAGACAGAAGCAAATAAGTATTTTTAGAACGGATACGCAAAGACGTGTTACCTTCAAGAATGGTCAGAGATATCTCTCCACTCACATAAATTTTCCATCTTCACAATCAGATGCCATTCTTAATAGAAGAGGTGGTTTCTCAGGTTTACCATCAGTGAGAAAAAGCTGACTACCAGTTCGACCAACAAAAATTGGAGCAATTGGTGCAGCAAGTTTCTCTAAGATGGGAACTCCCAGAAGAAATGGAAGCTGAATCAAAAAGAACAAATCAACAGTCTGAGGGTCGGTTCCTCCACTACCATAATCACTGGCAATTGTGAATGAGTCTTTATTGCAGATACATACTCTCTAAGGAACTGANTCAACAGTCTGAGGGTCGGTTCCTCCACTACCATAATCACTGGCAATTGTGAATGAGCCTTTATTGCAGAGGCATGAGCATAAGTGATGATCAGTACTAAAGATGAGAGAAAGATGCTTAAAACTCATTTTCGAAGAGAGTGTATGTGCGTGTGTGTACATATTTTTCGATAAGCGGCAGTGTGGAAGCATTAACATCATGATAGTAAGTCTCCAACAATTGATGTAGTCTTATCGAAACATTAAGTATTCATGAAGTTGCTGCTTAATAATGTATCCAAATGCCATAATTACAGAAAACTATTCAATTAGTTGAAATAAATTGTACAAGTATGAAATTTAACTGTATGTACAATCATATGAGCTTTAACTCAGGTTTTTACACAATTTGGAATCCTTGTCAGCAATGTAATATATAGAGATGCACTTCCTAGTTATCATGGCAAAAATATCAAAATCTGCTTTCAACGTAAACTGATTGGTCAACAGTAATTTAGAATGCAACAGTTATAGGCAAATAATGTTGCATCTCACTTTTTCCCTTGAAAGGGAAACCTTAATGAGAAGGACTAAAGCTAGACTTAAAAAGCCAATTACATGCTCACACCAAGCAATGTGGGAATCCAGAACCATGCACCAAACCAAACCAAGCCCATTGGAACGGATTTCCACAACACAAAGGCAAATGGTTTATACCATCCCGTCATTCCACATATTTTTTTTTTCATAGGGAACTCGTAGTGGGGTGCCTAGGGTTATGACTTGAATAGCCCATTACATGCTCTCAATCAGGTCACGTGTGATTCTGATTCTGGAGGATGGCAAAGATAGTGACATATTCTCTCCTCTTTTATTCCGACTCTACCCGTTTAAATTTGCTCACTTTCTTATTCTCTTTTCATTTTTTGGGTGCAGGCGGCAAACAGATTCTTTTGCTTCACAATACTCTCTCCTTTCACCAAATATTTCTACAAAGACCAATGCTCCAGTTAAAATTACTGTTATAAGCAACCAAAAGTGTTCACAAACTATTTCCACCCTCTTATATACAAGAGGTATCATTCACCTGCAAAGACATAGGCAAAAATAACTAGAAAGGCTCTGCTACTCACCCTAAGTCCACGTTCAGATCGCAAAACTTTGTTGGCAGTAATTAAGCAATAAATAAACAATGGATAACCCACTTGAAGTAAGTTCAGGGTAAAGCCCTATGAGATTGGCAACATATCACATGTTTTTGTATGCCAAAAAAAAAAGAAGCAGCAAACTACAACAATTCAAGTAGCCAGAATAAAGAGACTGATGCCTCAGAGGATCAACTTATAGGCATTGGTCTGAAAGAAATATGCAGTAGGTATGTCGGTGTTGCTAACAAGAAGNCAATCATATGAGCTTTAACTCAGGTTTTTACACAATTTGGAATCCTTGTCAGCAATGTAATATATAGAGATGCACTTCCTTGTTATCATGGCAAAAATATCAAAATCTGCTTTCAACGTAAACTGATTGGTCAACAGTAATTTAGAATGCAACAGTTATAGGCAAATAATGTTGCATCTCACTTTTTCCCTTGAAAGGGAAACCTTAATGAGAAGGACTAAAGCTAGACTTAAAAAGCCAATTACATGCTCACACCAAGCAATGTGGGAATCCAGAACCATGCACCAAACCAAACCAAGCCCATTGGAACGGATTTCCACAACACAAAGGCAAATGGTTTATACCATCCCGTCATTCCACATATTTTTTTTTTCATAGGGAACTCGTAGTGGGGTGCCTAGGGTTATGACTTGAATAGCCCATTACATGCTCTCAATCAGGTCACGTGTGATTCTGATTCTGGAGGATGGCAAAGATAGTGACATATTCTCTCCTCTTTTATTCCGACTCTACCCGTTTAAATTTGCTCACTTTCTTATTCTCTTTTCATTTTTTGGGTGCAGGCGGCAAACAGATTCTTTTGCTTCACAATACTCTCTCCTTTCACCAAATATTTCTACAAAGACCAATGCTCCAGTTAAAATTACTGTTATAAGCAACCAAAAGTGTTCACAAACTATTTCCACCCTCTTATATACAAGAGGTATCATTCACCTGCAAAGACATAGGCAAAAATAACTAGAAAGGCTCTGCTACTCACCCTAAGTCCACGTTCAGATCGCAAAACTTTGTTGGCAGTAATTAAGCAATAAATAAACAATGGATAACCCACTTGAAGTAAGTTCAGGGTAAAGCCCTATGAGATTGGCAACATATCACATGTTTTTGTATGCCAAAAAAAAAAGAAGCAGCAAACTACAACAATTCAAGTAGCCAGAATAAAGAGACTGATGCCTCAGAGGATCAACTTATAGGCATTGGTCTGAAAGAAATATGCAGTAGGTATGTCGGTGTTGCTAACAAGAAGTGTTTGACAATTGGGTGGGACCTTTCTGCTAATTCAGAGCAAGGGAAGATTTTGCTCCAAAGAATAACCATATTCAGTGCATTAGCGGCTAAATAAGTGCACCATGTCCCAACAAACAAACTCAGAAACCCAAAGTGCCACGCAACTACAGACTAAACAATACTGTTCATGTGTCCACAGGAAAAAGAAACCCAAGTAGGAACATCCACATCTCCTATATTATGGCTTCCTACTGTTTCATGAATTAGTGAGAGAATTATTGTTTACAAAAGGCCCAAAAAAATTCCTTCCTTTCACTTTCNGGAAAAAGAAACCCAAGTAGGAACATCCACATCTCCTATATTATGGCTTCCTACTGTGTCATGAATTAGTGAGAGAATTATTGTTTACACAAGGCCCAAAAAAATTCCTTCCTTTCACTTTCTCTCATTCTCTCTCCCAGTTTGTTTAGCAATATGCATCGTGACCTGTAGACCAACTTAAACCTTTCAACTATGACTTGTTTGAATTACACCCACTCTAAAGCCATAGCAGTTACATGTCAACTTAGAGTGTGTTTTCCCCAAAAATCAAGAGAAAGTTTCAAAACTTCATATCTATGCTTCAACAATCATAAGCAAGAGAAAAAATTTGGCTTGTATGAAAGATACTAAAAAACTGATGCCATGAATTGTACATCAAGGACAATTGCACAAGTTATTTATATCAAAGACCCTAGGCAAATTAAATCCACTGAAGACTCCCAATTGCCACAAAAGGATCCAATATCGGGTGTAAGGTTTTCATGGACTAACAAACGTATGATTAAACAACTAGGTGACTTCACCTGGGTCAAACCACTATTTACAAATACAAACAGAATTCACAAGGGATTAGCCGGCCATTCTTGAAGAAATATTACACTATGACCAAACAATTGGACAAAATGACAACCAGTGAAAAAATGTTTACTTAGTTTTCTTTTTTCATCAGAAGCATCCAAGTATGAAGAAACTTAAATTTTTTTATTAAGAGGATAAAACACATGAATGTTACAAATGTGTAACTTGTAGAAATTATCGAGAAAAGATGTATAAGTGAAACCCAAGAAGGGTGTCAACATTAAATAACAATCATATGGTAGTGAAATCNCAAATGTGTAACTTGTAGAAATTATCGAGAAAAGATGTATAAGTGAAACCCAAGAAGAGTGTCAACATTAAATAACAATCATATGGTAGTGAAATCAGCACAAGCTATTCCCACAAGGACAAACCTGCTTCTTCCCTCTCACTCCTAAATGCGGTGTCGCCAAGGTAATAAAATTGATCGGCTCCAGACCAGCAATCACACCTCGACTACAAGAGTACGTTGTTTTAGAGATTGCATTTGCAGAAGTAGCTAGATCATCGAACTGATTACTACTTGAGGCATTTGGAGTGTAAAGAACAGCAACTGCATATCTGGCAAACAATCCACCAAGAGAATGGGATAAAAAGGATATCCTTTTGAGGCTCTCAGTCTTTTTAACAAGTTGCATGACCTGTTCATAACAGAAGTTAACAAAATATAAAAGGCTCAAGTAACTTCCTACCACAGCCACAACTTAAATTATTTAAAGTACCAAAAAAATAGGAAAAGAGAAGGAAAAAGGCAATTATATAGTGAAGATGGGGTACTGGGATGGTAAACCGAGTATAGACATAACTTCAGGATTATTCACTCCATGTGTCTGCCTTCAGGCCAACCAACTATTCATGCTTGACAGCATAACCTTTTGCCACTGTACCACACACTGGCCCCTAATCTACACATTAATTGAAGGTGTACATAAAGACATGCCATTACATAAAAGATATATTTGAATACTTACTTCATCTGCTAATCGTTTTCCAGCTCCATCAACCCCAGTGAATGTTTTAGTGTACGTGTTACATGAACTTGCTGTGAAAAATAAACAAGTTAAACCCCTATTTGATAACACAATAAAGAATACTATATCATCCTGCCTGTTTTATCCTTAGTAGAACAATATCATTTTTAGAAAAATAAAAGGCCATTATAACTTCACAAATTACTAATATGAACATGGAAGTATGACAATTTTCTTAGATGACCATACCGTAGATTAAAAAGTTTCTTCCTAGACGCCTCTTCAACTCTGCTTCTACATAGGTCCAGTCACTAGGGCTGCATTATGTAGAAGCTCAGTCAGCTCGATATCATAAATAAGAGCCAAAGCACCCATGAACCTAGATTATTAATTCTGTTTGTCAAGCAACTATTAGAGGTCTAGTGCGACAAAGTTTGAAACACAATGAAAACTAAACTGATGTAAACAGACTGAATTTCCAACAATTTTATTAGGTTTCATCTTTCTGTTTGATATGCAACTCATGAAACCATGTCAAGACCAAGATTTAAACCTTTTACCTCACCCTTTGTGAGTGTGGCTAGTGATAATGCTTAAGCTATCAGCTGGTGGTAAGAACCATAGTTATTAATATCGTACGATACGTCACGATACAAAAATAAAATGATACGAATCAGAATTTTGTATCGCTTTTGCATAGTATCGTCCTATACACGATAAATTTTTACGATACAATACATACAACCGATACGCCAATNCTATCAGCTGGTGGTAAGAACCATAGTTATTAATATCGTACGATACGTCACGATACAGAAGTAAAACGATACGAATCGGAATTTTGTATCGCTTTTGCATAGTATCGTCCTATACACGATACGATACATACAACCGATACGCCAATTTTTTTTTTTTTAACGCACCAAATTGTTGACAACCTCAAAGAAAATGTCAAAGAAAAGGCAAGAGATAAAAACAAGAATTATCAGTTCACCAATCCCACAAATTAGCAAAAACACCCAATCAAAAGCAAATCAAACAAATTTTAAAATTGAAAAAATAGCAACACTAACTTGTAAATTTCGGATGAAAGCCTAGGTTGATTTTTAACACAAACTTGTTAGTCTCACGATCTCTGTCTCTGTCTCACGATCTCTCTCTTCATCGCTGTGAGCTGCGACCACGAGGTACCAGCCACCAGGTATGTTTTTTTTCTCTCTCTTCTTCTTTCTCTCTCTCTGGCACCGGCATCGCCTATCGCCTTTGAGGTTGCCTCTCGCCTCTTCTCTCTTTTCTCTGTCTCTATGTTTTTATTCGTGGGTCATGAGACTCACGTTGTGCACANAAACAAATTTTAAAATTGAAAAAATAGCAACACTAACTTGTAAATTTCGGATGAAAGTCTAGGTTGATTTTTAACACAAACTTGTTAGTCTCACGATCTCTCTCTCTGTCTCACGATCTCTCTCTTCATCGCTGTGAGCTGCGACCACAAGGTACCAGCCACCAGGTATGTTTTTTTTTCTCTCTCTTCTTCTTTCTCTCTCTCTGGCACCGGCATCGCCTATCGCCTATCGCCTATCGCCTTTGGGGTCGCCTCTCGCCTCTTCTCTCTTTTCTCTGTCTCTATGTTTTTATTCGTGGGTCATGAGACTCACGTTGTGCACATTTTTTTTTTGTTATAAGTATAAAAAATTACATTTACTACCCCTCTTCTTTTTGTCTCTGTGTTTTCGTTCATGGGTCACGAGACTCATGCTGTGCAGATATTTTTTTTTGTTGTAAGTATAAAAAATTACATTTACTACCCTATTACANTTTTTTTTTTGTTATAAGTATAAAAAATTACATTTACTACCCCTCTTCTTTTTGTCTTTGTGTTTTCGTTCATGGGTCACGAGACTCACGCTGTGCAGATATTTTTTTTTGTTGTAAGTATAAAAAATTACATTTACTACCCTATTACATAATAACTTTTAACTTTTAAATATACATAAATACCATTAATTTAATTTGATACCCTTTATTATTTTTTTAATATTAGTAAATTATATTGTTGACTTGAATAGTACGTGAAATATTAATGAAATATTATGTTTTTATGAGTCTATGATTTTTTTTCAAAAGTATATATATTTTATTATTAATTATTTAAAATTACGCCGTATTTTACGATACACGATACGATACGATACACTATTTTCAAAAAATGATACACCTTTTGATACACGATTTGATAACTATGGTAAGAACTAGGGGTGTTAATTGAGCTAAATTCAAGTCTAATAGTTCGACTATTTACACATAAACGAGCTAGCTCATTTAACTATTTACACATAAACGAATTTAAAAAAATGTTCAAGTTTGGCTTGTTTAACAGCCCTAGTAAGAACTGCCAAGATACTTTCGAAAGGCTTTTAGAGAGAGAGAGGAATAATTACATCTAACCAATCAACAAGGTGCTAACCACACACCAAGTAAAATGCTAGTAGTACCACTTCTATCACCATATTCTACGAAATTCTGCTTTTGAACCATGAATATGCCTGCACAACAATACTACCAGCTACCAACAAAAAGACTGGATAAAGTGTAACCCTTTACCCCTTGAATCTACACATGCTAAGGCATNATGCCTGCACAACAATACTACCAGCTACCAACAAAAAGACTGGATAAAGTGTAACCCTTTACCCCTTGAATCTACACATGCTAAGGCATATGCTAGCGTACCTACTATCACCCCAAAAAAATCTTCATTTGTTCAGTCAGATCTTGACTGGTGGTTGATTATACAAGGTTGGCAGGGATGGGGTTGACCTCAGCATGGATCACTGTTCTGTTACATAACAGTAATTTGGCCATGATAATTTTATCCAAGCAACATAAAAACATACAGGCCCAAATATTTTGTCAAGTTTCTAACGAAGCCAAAGCCCTTATTACATGCAGAGGTCTTTTAGAGCCAGAGATCCCAACGTTGCAACTTGCAAAACGTGAGAGCATACATGTAAAATAAAAGGAGGCTACTTGTAATAGATATGTATGTGTTATAGGTGCAACTAAACANCCTTATTACATGCAGAGGTCTTTTAGAGCCAGAGATCCCAACGTTGCAACTTGCAAAACGTGAGAGCATACATGTAAAATAAAAGGAGGCTACTTGTAATAGATATGTATGTGTTATAGGTGCAACTAAACATGCGCACGCGCGTGCGTGCACAATGGTATAATAATTGTTCAAGCAGTCATTATGCAAAGTACAAGCATTTGAGTTTTCGTTATTTCCTCTTTCCGAGTCACTTCTGCTTCTTTATTCATTGTGAATTTTCTCTTTTCTAATTGGGTTTGAACTAAAGAAAATATATACCTTGCCAAAATGCCATGAACAAGAACAAGAAGATGGTCAGGTTCATCTTTCACATTTATAATCCTCTTTGGTGAGGCAACGTTTCCTTGGGTTGTACTCATAGCGTGGGCTCTAAAGTTTTGATGCTTCCAGATGTTGGATATGCCTGCAAATCATTTAGGCACACCCTCAAGCCAAATGAAAGAAAGAACAAATTTATACATTATCGGGGTATAATCCATCTGATATGTGTAGGAATGCATAGATCAATGCACAGTGAGCCGGATATATAACACTTACTTGATTCCTATAAGATGCATAGCTGCTAAAATTAACTGTTTCAGTTCTCTTGACAATGTTATACTTTGGAGAGAAAGAAATGCTAGAATCTTCAAGAACGAATACAAGGATGTTGCAACTATCTTCAAATCCATTATTCAAGTTAACAAGTGCAAACTTATCAATGCTAACTACCGGCATACTCCAATGAACTTAGCCTTCATTCAAATGTGGAGTTCCTCGGTCTCTAATGTTCTTGCTAGACTATGAGCTTCTTTTGTTTTCATAATTGGGTTCAAGTCCTACTATTCTGCAGTACTTTTATCAGTTTCGATTTCTTTTGTTTCAGTTGTCATTTGATAGCCAAAAGACAACAATTTACTTGTACATTTTGCAAAGTTTAATGAATATATTTACTTGCCCAAAAAAAAAAAGACAATGTTATACTGAGTCAAATGGAGACATCTCAAGTAGCAAGATTCTAAGTTCAAATACATCTCACAANTACCCAAAAAAAAAAGACAATGTTATACCGAGTCAAATGGAGACATCTCAAGTAGCAAGATTCTAAGTTCAAATACATCTCACAAAATATGGCTAAATTATGGCTATTTAGCTTAGTTCAATTCTAGTATCACTGGTTATTAAGAATATACAGAAGATTGTAATCTTCCGTTCAACTGAGGGAAGACTACCATTATTGAGAAACCCCCAGTGTAAGTTCCTGAGCTGTCGTGTCTCTGATAAAATCTTTGCCAAGATCAATCTTTAGCAGGAAACCTNTTCCGTTCAACTGAGGGAAGACTACCATTATTGAGAAACCCCCAGTGTAAGTTCCAGAGCTGTCGTGTCTCTGATAAAATCTTTGCCAAGATCAATCTTTAGCAGGAAACCTCAGAGTAACAATCTTTTTTGACAAAATGCAAGTTTGAAGAATTGTCAGAAAAGAACGGCATAAATGGTTGATNCTCAGAGTAACAATCTTTTTTGACAAAATGCAAGTTTGAAGAATTGTCAGAAAAGAACGGCATAAATGGTTGATGATTGCTGTGGGAACATAGACAAGAGGCCGAGGCTGTTAAGACTAATGCAGAAGGGTCATGTGTCCAAATAAATTTGTTCACTATTATCAACTAACCTAAGAATATGGACAAATGTCAGCTGTGGCTGGTCACCTGTTACCATAATCTAAAACTGGGACATAGTAAACAAAGGGAGTTTTATCAGAAAAGTGAATATCATTTTGCTTGCCCTGTTGAATTTAATAGCAATCCATCAAAGGTTTTCGCTTTCACCCAAGTGTTTATGCAAAGGTTAAATCACCATTACTCAATGAGCAGGAATGCCAATAAGGTCACACAAGGAAAATTTTGGTCTGATTACCAGAAACAACTGGAAAAGAAAGGTTAAAAAAAAATCATGGGTCTTTTGTTCTTCTCATTAGTGATATGAGAAGCCACCACTGCAACAGACAGTAATATAGATTTGTTGAATATTAATTAGAAGATGTCCTTATTATCATGTATTATAATCTAAATAAACAACAGTATTAAGAAATTAATCACAATGAGTCTAAGATATTTAAGAACACAACCACAACAGGACAGAACTGACTGTAAGCAAGATTATGCATTTAATGGGCATAGTTATAAGATGCCCTTGGATTCAAACACTGCAAATTCCCAAAACAAGACTGAACCCAGATAGCGC